TTGGTCTCCTTCCCGAGCAGCCCATCTCCCCCACAGGTAAGTCACCAGGACTCCGAGAAGCCTGAAGATCAGCTTCTCCTAGAAGTAACCATTCAGCTGAAAACAGTCTGAGCTTCTGCCATCACAGTGGGCATCCAGTTCCCTGGAGGTGTGCAGGCCTGTTTGGGGTGAGGGACAGGCTGAGTGCCTCCTCTACGGTAGGACAGGAGGGTGGGGAGGAGGCTGTGGGCCACGCCATCATGTGCTGAAAAGGGCTCAGCTGGCTTCTGCTTGGGGCTGCCATGGTCACACTCTGCACTCCCATGTGCATCTGACTCCAGGGAAGGGGAAAGTCAAGGTAGGAAGACCCTAGAGGAGGACTAAAGAGATCCCCAGAACATCACCCTCAACGGCAAGCAGAGCTCAATGAATGAGTCATCTCCATCAAAGTGGGTTTGACAGGCACTGGTCCTTGCACTGTTGTTGGGAAGACCCTTTCTGGCCACACATCTCAGTGGAGGGTGGGTCCTGTATCTGCTGTCTCACCACAGCTTCTCTTCCCCCAGGTGTGGTGTTTCACTACCGCGCCGCCACCAGCAGATACGCCTTCTCCTTCGTCCAAGCCCAGCAGGCCTGCCTGGAGAACAACGCAGTTATTGCCACTCCCGAACAGCTCCAGGCTGCCTACGAGGCTGGCTTTGACCAGTGCGATGCTGGCTGGCTGCGGGACCAGACAGTCAGGTAAAACTATATTGACTTTACTCTGGTCTGTCCTGTTGCTCTGCTCATCAGCATCTAAAGTTTTCCTGATCTGAGGTTGTCTCCAGGCCATGATACCTAGTGGCCAATAGACCTGTTCTTCTCAACCTCTCCTACCTCTTTCCTAACCTGTGCATACATCCTGCACACTGCTCCACAGTGTATTGACATGTAGGAAAAGTGGAGCAAAGTTTGTAGTCATTGCCCCAAGCTGTAAGTGCAGATTAAACCTGTTTCCAAGTCACACTGCAGGCTTTGAGCACCTCTAAGGGTGAAGTGTTCGTGTCCTGCTCCCAAGTACACTGAGGTTCTTCAGTCCAAGGTACATAGGGCTGACCTTGGGTTAACACTTCACTTCTTCTTTTGGTAGGTATCCTATTGTGAATCCCCGAAGTAACTGCTTAGGAGACAAAGAGAGCTCTCCGGGTGTGCGGTCGTACGGTATGCGCCCGGCCTCGGAGACCTATGATGTGTACTGCTACATTGACAGGCTCAAGGGTACGTTCTCCCCCTTCCTCTGGGCATGGTTGTGGAGCAAAGACGTGCTTCACGTCTCCATGTCTGCGTGTGCGTGGGTGGGGTGCAGGCAGAAAACGTCTGTTTTCTCTCCCATCCCTCAGGTGAGGTGTTCTTCGCAACCCAGCCAGAGCAGTTCACCTTCCCAGAAGCTCAGCAGTACTGTGAGAGCCAAAACGCCACACTGGCCTCTGTTGGCCAACTCCATGCTGCCTGGAAGCAGGGCCTGGACAGATGCTACGCTGGCTGGTTAGCCGACGGCAGTCTCCGCTATCCCATCGTGAGCCCCCGTCCCGCCTGCGGGGGGGATGCGCCCGGCGTGAGAACTGTCTACGAGCTCTACAATCAGACCGGCTTTCCCGACCCGCTGTCCCGGCATCACGCCTTCTGCTTCAGAGGTACCCTCCCACCCCTTGTAGGGCGTGTAGACTGGTCTCCTCAGGGAAAGTGATTTCACGAGGGAGGTTGGGCACATTGGGGTGCCCGTTTGGGCGAAGCACTTCACCAGCATCTTGGACTGTGGAAATTTTTGGAATTCTTGGAAACTCCTTCCGATACCTTTTTATTCCAGCTCTGCCACCTGCGGAGGAGGAGGGGGTCACCTCGTTCTTTGAAGAAGATGTGCTGGCAACTCAAGTGATCCCTGGAGTGGAGGAGGTGCCCTCCGGGGAGGAGGCAACCATGGAGACGGAGTTTGCCACTCAAGCTGAGAATCAGACAGCCTGGGGGACAGAGGTCTTTCCAACCGATGTGTCACTGCTCTCAGGTGGGTCAGAGCTTCCCCGCCTCCTGGGTCACGCTTGGCTGGTGTTGTAGGGTTGGGACACTCCCAAAATGAATGGGTTGTGTCTTTGCTGAAGGAGACTCCCTCTAAATCCAGACAATTGTCACCATATTAGCAAAGTCTGAGGCTGTGCACACAGGTACCACAAGAGAAGCTACGCATGTATATTATTGAACTTTTGTCTAGGACTGAACTAAATGACCAGCCATGCTGCCGTGCTGCAGACCGGCACACACAGCATTGCCCGAGCACCCTACAAAATACGTTGTTGTGTATCCGGGATGGGGAAGGCAGGCTAGAAACAGATCTCAGACCATGCCTTCCAGGGAGGAGGGAGCGGCAGTGTGGTCAGAGCAGCACCAAACGTTTTCTCTTCCACATGTTATCTCTGAGGAAGCAGTAGCTTGGTTTTGGCACCTGGGAATTGGTGTCACTGTTGCCATTGTCCTGTGTCAGAAGATTATATATTCTTTCTGTTTCCCAGAGATATTTAATTTATAGTTTTTTAAGATACAACGTTCATTAACAAATTTGAAGGGACCAAATAATTTCTGCGAGCACATAGGACTTTGTGCCTTTATCCCAAAGGTAACAGTTTGGAGGTAAAGTCAATCAGGAAATTGTTAATAACTTCTTTAAAACAATTTAGTAAATAATTTTCCTATCTCCCTCTCTTTGTTCGCTCTTTCTTTTCCAGTGAGTCCATCTGCTTTTCCTCCAGCTACCATAATACCAGAGGAAACAAGTACCAATGCTTCAGTCAGTGAAGTGTCAGGGGAGGTGACTGAATCTGGAGAACATCAAGTCAGTGGCGAATCTTCGGCATCCGGGTGGGTATCTGGAGTCCCGGATACAAGCGGAGAACTGACTTCTGGAGTTTTTGAACTTAGTGGAGAACACTCAGGGACTGGAGAAAGTGGATTACCATCGGTAGACCTGCATACCAGTGGCTTTCTACCTGGAGAAAGTGGGCTACCCTCAGGGGACCTGAGTGGGGTGCCTTCTGGTGTTGTTGACATCAGTGGCTTACCTTCTGCAGAGGAAGATGTATCAGTGTCTACTTCAAGGATACCAGAAGTTAGTGGGATGCCATCTGGAGTGGAAAGCAGTGGGCTGCCTTCTGGATTTAGCGGAGAAGTCTCTGGCACTGAGCTAGTCAGTGGCGTGTCATCTGCAGAGGAAAGTGGACTCGCCTCTGGTTTTCCTACTGTCTCTCTTGTGGATACCACGTTGGTGGAAGTTGTAACGACAGCGCCAGAACGGCGAGAGGAGGGAAAAGGATCCATTGGAGTCAGCGGTGAAGGCGATCTGTCAGGGTTCCCATCTGCTGAGTGGGACACCAGTGGAGGAACCCAAGGGTTACCCTCAGGAGCTGAGCTCAGCGGGGAGCCTTCTGGGGTGCCCGAGCTCAGCGGGGAGCCTTCTGGGATACCCGAGCTCAGCGGGGAGCCCTCTGGAGGGCCTGAGCTCAGCGGGGAACCTTCTGGGGTGCCCGAGCTCAGCGGGGAGCCTTCCGGAGGGCCTGAGCTCAGCGGCGAACCTTCTGGGGTGCCCGAGCCCAGCGGGGGGCCCT